GAGTCATAATATATTGGAGGAAGGGGGGTCCTGGAAGGATTACCAGGCTGGAAACTAATTCTCTAATGTATCTTCAAATTTCTAAAAGTGTCTGGTTAATTAAAAATTAAAAAAAAAAATACAGAAGGCATATGTCCCCCTGGTGCATTAGTCCATACGGTTTAGCCTCCTACAGCAAAGCAGAGTGAAGAAGGCTGAAAGGTGGATCTAGAAGGGCAAAGGAAAGATATCCAACCTACTCCCCACTGACCTCCTACCGTCCATCTGGCACTGCTGGCAGTCTACAACCTGCACTTGACGATCTCTGAAGTATTCGCTATTTCCTGTCTATTCCCTGGCTCCTTCCCATACTCTTTCTCATCCACACCCTCTCATAAATACAGTATTCCTCTGGGATGACTATATCTGGTAGCCTCATCAAATCCCATAGCTAACACCATTATCTATGTAGATTTTATAAACTAACTCCATCTCCTTCAGTTTTGAAACCTGTATAATTACTTCTCAACATTTTATACAGTAGAAGCATCTTAGAAAATCCAACCTGCTAAAGCCAAACTCAATACCTACCCCCTGGAGTGGGCACTGTTAGTGAACTGCCAAGGTTCTCCCCCACCCCAGTTGCATATCCTCTAACGTAACTTCCTGAATACCAGATTTCTAAAGTAGCCCTGACCTCTATCACAGTGCGCCCTTTACTTGAGATGGTGAGCACACTGAGGTTCAAGGGTAGGTCTAGTGGCTCTAAACAATTTGCATATTCCATTTCCTTAGCTAGAGGCATTGTTTAAGAAGTGGTCATGTGATCTTAGTAGTACCAGTAGTGTGAATTGAGACCTTTTCCTTGAAATACTAGGACAGAAGCATTTTCCCCATGAATGTGAACCAAGAAACAAGTACCCATTTTTTGATTCAGGTAGCCATCCTATCCCAAAAGGGAATTAGAAAAACAAAAACAAAAACAAAACAACAAAAAAGGGGGGGATTAGAACAGTGCCAACAGGAAGAAAGACAATTTTTAAAATTAATTCATTAAATAATAATGAATGGGGTTCTTGACAATAAGTAAATCCCAGGACCAACAACCAGAGCCCACTCTAAGTTCTATCTTCCAATTACCTAAGCCAGTAAATCCCTTTATATTTAAAGCAGTTTGAGTTGTATTTCTGTTATTTGCAGTATAATGTGTAAAGGAGAGTAAAAATACATATAAAGCTAGTTGTGAAAATGTCATAAAACAACTGAAAGTTAATATATATGAAATGTAAGATAAGCAGGCCTTTATGAAAGACAGAAAAGTAGAAATACAGAAAAACAAAACACCAGACAGGTTAGCAGAATGACAACTGGCACTGCTAAGATGAATGGGAAACCTAGCTTCCATATTTGAAGATGTAACTCCTGAATGATCCCCAGCTTTCTATGGTCTAGAGTCAGACAGAGGCTGGTAGGGACTGCTTCAGGGGGGAAATCTGGCAGCAACCGGGGGAGTCAAAGGAAGGAAACAAGAAACCCGGGACTTTCACATTCTGTACAGATACATAAAGACAAGCTTTCATACAAGTGAAATTCTGAGGTGTCTCCTAGAATTATAGTACTTTCCACTGGTTCAAATAAATCCATGTAACTAGCTTCACATTTGCATGCCTTTTCCAGTCATTCTGGCCCAGAAAGTGGTGGTATTCAACCCCACTGATATTTCTAAGCTGTACTGAAACAGCAGCAGTCCGGGGAGCTTGCTACATCAAGTCTCCTGCCCCTTCCTGACAGGAGAGAGGGTGCGTCAGCTCACCTCCAGCAAGGCACGCAGAGACGGAGTCCTAAATTTCTTGGTATCAAATGGTTGATAGGCCCATAGAGCCCTTCAGTTCTCCCAAGTCACCCTAGATAAAATACCCAGTTGCCTTCTAGACCCTTTACAACGCTATCCCACAGGCAATCTGTCATTTATTCCTACTCAAGTAGGTTGAAAACTATGTCTGGAATTCAGTCCTTTCTTCTCATTTCCAAGGCCAATGCCCAAGGTCATACTGTTATCTCATATCTCAAGTACTGCAATTGTCTCTTACCCAGTTTCACTGTGTCTTATCTTTCTGCCTGTCCAATCCATCATTCACAGGGTTACTAGCTCCTAGGAGAAAATACGGAGCATACTTCATTTATCCTTTTTCCCTCCCCTATGTCCAGGCATGAAAATATCTGTTTACATTATTGTAAGCAGGTCATTTCTCATTTGAAAAACTCTATGATGGCATCCACTGGTTTCAGAAAAAGTTCAAAGAGCTTAACCTGCAACCAGGTCACCAAAGTTGTAAACCATACTCCCTGTCAGCAGAGGGGCTCCCCATTTTCCCCCCATAGGAGGAGCCAGTCATACAGAACTACTAAATCTTCTGGAACACACAAGCAGCAGATCTTTATAAATGACATGCTCTCCCTCTACAGAATTCACTTACCATTGGCTCTACTTGCAAAACACTTACTAGTCCTTCAAGGCTCAACTGAGGTATCCTTTCCACAGATAAAATCTTCTCCAGTACTAGTTTCTGATTAAAATGTCTTCATCCTCTGTACCTACAGAAGACTTTCTTTAAAAGTCTACTTTGACATTTGTGTTGCTCTTCCTGGTCTTACACTAATTTGGTTTGCCCAGTTATTAGCCTTCTTAACCTAGTAACGAGCGTAGTAGATCGTTACTAGTAGATCAGCGTGAGGTGGTCTTTCTCCCCTTTCATCCTCTGTATTTAGCAAAGTGTGCAGAGTACATAGCACACACTCCGTAACTACTGCCTGAGTAATCTGCTGGTGGACTAGTTGTTACCAGAGGACAGCTACTGTGCCTTATTCATTTTCACTTCTCATGCTGACTGGAAGAAATGAACAGAAATTGCTACAGGTTGGAAAAAATACTACGCTTCGCCTGGCCTTCTGGGTTACCGAAATATTTGGCTAAACCTAGGGCAGTCTGTCATTTCTTCATTCCAAAAGATTTATTCGGTACCTTGTGTGTGCCAAATCTTATCCCAGGAGCTGCGGACAGAACTGTAAACAAGGTGAACCACTCGTGTGCTGAGATGAAGGAAACAGCTCTAGAGCTAATAAATCAGTCTCTTTCACCAATCCCCCCTAAAAAAGTTTTTCTTAACTTCCAAACGCAGTTCTCTGCTGCACAAATTTAAAACCCGAGTGATGAGTGGCTTCTCCCTACACCTTGTTCAAGTGTTATTGGACAAAATGTAAAAGTGCTACCACTCGATAATGATGGTGATCATCACATTATCTTCCTCCTCTTTAATTTCAACACTATTCTCCAAATTCAAGCCCTCATTTTGCCTTTTTGGAACAACTAAAATTGCTTCCTAACAACCCTTCCCACTTTTATGCTTCCCATCTCTACATTCCCTTTCAATACTGCCAGAATAATTTTCTTAAAAAGCAACAATCTTACTCTATTACAGCTGTGCTCAAAAGCCCTCAGTGGCTTTGCAAACACAGGGAGAACACTGTTCAGACTCCTTAGCCTCATACTCAAGGAATCTTCAAAAATTGAATTCCAATTTGTCTGTCCAGATTCTTTTGCACAGTTCTTCCTACAATCCAGACTCCCATGAAAATAGCTCTTGATTTTGTATCTTTGAACTTTTCACTTGATAGATTTCCATCTATTTTATTCAAATCCTGCCTACATCTCAAGGCCCAATGCAAGGACCTTAAATTTGTCTCCGATTTTTCCCTTCTGCCTATGAAAGCTCAGTATACCTTGTGCTTTTCCCTCTAGTCTTAACTGCTTCTACCTCACATTTTGATTATTCACAAATATAACTTATGTATCCAACTAAAGCATACTTAATCATCAATAAATACTTAAAAGGCACTTACTGTCTTTCCATTACTCCAAAGTACCTAAAACATAGCATATTCATAGTAAACATTAAGCAAATTTTCATAAATTTTCATGGAATGAAGGCAAACTCCCAAACAGAAATGTACCCCAAATCAAAATAATCTTTTTCTAAATGTGAACAATAATCTCCACCAAAGAGATACATATGAGTGGTAGAAAACCACAGCTCATCACACTTTAAATATATATGAAAGAAGGCAGCTAAGTTAGTGGAAAATGGAATCAAATACAAAGCTAAGAAAATTTATTCAAAGTAATATGGAAATATTGAATCAATCTCGCCGATTTCAGTATACGGATGTACCTCTCATTTTGAAATGCAAATACATAAACACATACACATTATGTCCATCAACTGGAAACTATATACAGTGTCAAAATTTATTGAAATAAGAATCACAAGGAAATTTTTCCTAGTTGCCATTTAATAACTTTTGTGAAATTTAATAAAAGTTTATGTGATGAAATATTTTTTCCTTTTCTAAGGAAACAGCTTTAGAAGATGATTGATGCCTGCTATTATGGGTCTATATTTGTATTTCCTTATTTTAGAGGCTTTTCAAAATACAAAAATAAACTTAAAGCATTTCCAGTTATACTAAAAAAAAAGATAAAAGGTGATTATTTATAGGCAATCATATTCACGATGATAGAGTCTCGGAAGGCAACTGCAAACATAAATTTTAAATGCTTTTTGGAAAGAGTTGAGAATAAAAACATTTACATAATTTCTTAGAAACCCTGGCTTTTTATTGCTGCACTTCAATATTCCCTCCAGGCAAAGGAGCAGCTACTTCAAAGATTTATTTGATAATGGAATGTTTGATTTCTTTGTTTTCCCTTTCCAATGTGGAAAGGTCTGTTGTTTTCACTCCACAGCAGTGTGCTGTATTTTAAAATTTGAATTGGCTCTCTACTGATAATAAAAATGGTTCTGTTTTGGCAAATTAAACACACCATAGTCTATATATTATAAATAGACTATACTGTTATAGAAACGGTCCACATACATATCAGTCATCTTTGATAATGGAACTGCCACTTCATGATAATATACCTTGTGACTAATATCAAATGTCTTAAAACTCCCACTTACCTGCCTATCCACTTCTGGGAGCAAAAGCAGGAGGTATTGTTGAAAATGCTGAGGTAAGGAAGCAAACGTATGTTTATTTATTAATGCCCTCAAGTTAGTGTTGACAAGAATAGATCCTGGGGTTTCTATGTCAATGTCCTCAGCTTTGGTCCATTTCAAGTGTCCTGTGATAAACAAGCAAGAGCATTAATTCACTGCAGATTGGGGAAGACACGCACATGTACGTACACATATATCTACATATTGAACATATTCAATAATACATCTAATGCTGTCACTTTACAAAGTGACATTTCAGAAAGAACTCTCCAAAGCTCCTTTGTGTTTTTGTCCTGTCTTACTTGTATTTTATTTTCATAATGTATACTTCACTCAATACCATCTATATATTTTAGTCAAAGTAGCACCATGTCAAGATTAAGAAGTATTTTAATTATGGTCTTCCAATTAAGCAGAATTTTAAAAACTTTGGGAGCATAAATGCTAACAACTACAATTTTTTATAGATTCTATAAGACCATAGATAAATAATAATAATACTAAGAGTTCTGTTAATTTTAACAGAGGCATTGATAGCTAGTTCAGAGTTGTGTGATTTCCCATATATCAGGCTGAACACTAAGCACCGGATTAGTTCAAAAGATTCCTACTCGGGGTATTTTGAGAGTAATAATTTAAAAAGCAATCCTTTTTAAAAATATTAGTTTCAAGGTCTAAAATACCAACACACTTTGAAGGATAATTCTACAACTCAAGGTACACTGAGCTTCAACAGAAGGCTCTGTGTAGAGTTCACAACTCAAAATTACGACATACAAGAAGATAATCCACTCTAACAAACAGCCAGTTGATGCATCAAAGAGAAGAATTACTTTCAGTTACTTGAGTTAAGAGAACACCTTGAATGTGAGCTGTTTTAATAGAGTATATTTTAAATCAAGGGTTAGCAAATTATGGCCCATGAGCCATATCCAGTCCAAATTTTGTTCTGGTAAATAAAGTTTTACTGGAACATAGTAAATGCCCAATTGTTTAGCAACTGCCTAGGTGTGCCTCTGCACTACAATGCAGGGTTGAATAGTTGTGCCAGAAATTGCATGACCTATATTTACTACTCAGCCCTTGGCAGAAAAAATTGCCAACTCTTGTTTTAAATAATTAGTGACAAAACACAGAATAAAAGTCATTATTAGTAAACAGGGAACTATGATGAAAGAATAAGCAACTTTGAAACAGAACCAGACAGAAAACCTAGAAATGAAAATTTAGTTTTTAAACAAAAAAAAGTAATGGACACAGAAGAGGAAAGAATTATTAACTAAAATACAGAGTTGATGAAAATATCTAGAATGCGGCATAAAAAAATGACAGGTCAAAATAGGATAGTGAAGAAATATGGGGAATGGCATGAGCAGTCAGAATGAACATCTATGGGAGATTCAAAACAGCAGATGGAGGGCAAGCAGTATTTGAAGAGCTAATGGCTCACATTTTTAGAACCGAAAAAATTACGAGTTCTTGGATAACGCAATATACCAAATCTCAAGAAGGACAAACACCCACTTTCATCTGATGTGTTGAAATTACAAAACATCAAAAACAAAAAGAGTATCTTATAGCAATTTTTTAGAAAAACAGATTACATCCAAAGGGATGATAATAAGACACAGAAATTTTATCAATGAATAATAGCAGTAGAATATCTTCAAAGGGTCAAGAGAATATAAGCATCAATCTAGATGATGGCAATAATATAGGAACATTTTCAGGATTGGGGAACCAAGGTGGCTCAGTCAAGCTTGATTTCAGCTCAGGTCATGATCTCAGGGTCTTGAGAATGAGCCCTAGTCAGGCTCCACAATCAACAGGGAGTCTGCTTGAGATTCTCTCTCTCCCCTCTGCTTGTCCTCTGTCTCTCTCTCAAATGAATAAAGAATCTTAAAAAAAAAAAAAAGGAAACTCAATAGAGAATCTTGCTAAAATAATCATTAGTGGCTGTTCGCAACAAATGAAGAAATTAAATCAAAGAAGAAATAAATGGGTTGCAGAAGCCATGGTCAACTAAGAGACTAATAGATCAGAGCAGGTCCAAGTAAATATTAGCTTTGAAGGATAATACTAAGAACCAGTGAGAGTTAAATAAAAGAAATAAGTTAAATAAAGAGGAAATAAAATGGAAAATAACTGCATGTAAGATGGGACAGCTGACTGAAATGAGAATGTTATATAAACCCCGGTCTGATTTGGGAAGGAGAGATTTGGACTAGTTCTTTGCTTGGTTAAAGCTCTAGAGGTGACCATTAGAAGCAACAAGAAAGAGTGATATTTCCAAATAAGTGCATGGAAGGAAATCTCAATGCATCAAATGGAAGGAATAAAAGCAGGGGGAAAAATTAAAAATTAAGTCCAAAAATAAAAATAAATATAAATGGGTTTTCATACTAGATTTAAAAAGGAATACAATCCAGCTACATGCTGCTTACAAGAAATAAACTTAAAAATCATAAGGAATGGATGAAAATGAAATAAACACTTAGTAGGCTGAGACTCAAAACAACAAAATAATATAACAATATTAACATCAGACAACATAAACAAAGGTAGAAAACCTTGTTGGGGATGAGAAAGATCATAAAAGGATGAATTCACTAAGAAGATACAATGACCTTAAATCTGCAATCATTTAAGCAGTGTATCATTCAAAAACTTGAAACTGAGAGAACTTAAAAGGGAAAGTGCCATTACACGATGCTAGTGGTAAGTCTTAACATCTTCTACCAGAAATTGAGACATCAGACAAAAAACTTGTCTTAATAAGAGAATTTTAAAAACTCAATAATCAATGTTGAACCAATGAATTTAACATAAGGCATTGCACTGAGCTGTTAGAGAAAGCAATGTTTGTCATCACTCAAGGAACAGTAAAACACACAAAAACTGGCCAGCAAGTCTCTACAAATAATGATGAACAGTATTAAATTTCATCTAATTAGGTAGCAATAACACAAATACAGCAACTCTCCAATCCTCCCACATCTGTTGTATATTTAGACACTCAAAAGCACATTTCTAAGTATTTCATAAGCTAAAGAGAAGAAAATTTAATAGAAATTAGAAAATATTTGGATTCTAAATAACAATGCCAAAATTTGTGAAATGCAACTCAGTTTAAAAGATAAAGTGTATCTATTACAGAGTAGGAAAAAAATACTGAAAATTCAAGGATTAGTGTATGAATCAAGGAGTTAATAAACAAATAAGAAAAATTTGGGAAAGGAGGAAGGATTATAAAAATAAGAGTATACATTCATGAAATAGAAAAGGAAAATGAAGACCATCAACACCAAAAAAAGGGTTGTTTTTTTTTTTGTATTAGACTAATGAAATAGATATATCTCTGATAAGACTTGGTATAAATATAGAGGAATGAAAGGTAGGGACATAATTCTAGATATAGTATACATGGCACATAATGAAAAATGGATTTTAAGTGTCATAATAAAATACTGTGACTTTATCCAATATCTTTGAAGACCAACTATTTTCAGGTTTATAAATATTCAAGTTTAATTTAAAATAGGAAACCTGAATAAATTTGCAGAAACTTAAAAAAATAGATAAACAGGAATCTTCCCCACTTCACATACATACAGAATATATAAGTTGCCCTGACGATGAGTTTTATCAGTCCGTTAAGGAACTCTCCCATTTTGTACATATTCTAGAGAATAGGTTTATAAAGAAATATTTCCAATTCACTTTATCAAGTTAATATACCTTTATTTCAAAATAAGGACAAACAAGAACAGTATAAGAGGAAAAAAAATTATCTTCTCCCATTCCATGGGCTGCTTCTTAGTTTTGTAGGCTTTCCAAGACATTAAAAATAAAGCTACCTTACAACCTAGCAATTGCACTACTAGGTATTTATCCCAAAGACACAGACACAGTGAAAAGAAGGGGCAGATGCACCCCAATGTTCATAGCAGCAATGTCCACAACAGCCAAACTGGAAGGAGCCAAGATGTCCTTCAACAGATGAATGAATAAAGATGTGGTCCATATATACTATAGAATATTACTCAGCCATCAGAAAGGATGAATACCCATCATTTGCATCCGCATGGATGGAACTGGAGAGGATTATGCTAAGTGAAAGAAGTCAAGCAGAGAAAGAATTATTATATCATTTCACTCATATATGGAGCATAAGGAACAGTGCAGAGGACCACAGGGGAAGGGAGGGAAAACTGAATGGGAAGAAATCAGAGAGGGAGACAAACCATGAGAGACTCTGGATTCCAGGAAACAAACTGAGGGTTTGTTTGAAGAAAAGTGGGGGACGGGGTAAATGGGTGACAGGAATTAAGGAGGGCATGTGTGGTGATGAGCACTGTGTGTTATAAGCAACTAATGAATCACTGAATACTACATCAAAAATTAATGAAGTACTCTATACCTTGGATAACTGAACATAATAAAAAACAAAGAAAAAGAAAGAAAAAACATCATCAACCAATATGACACAAAAAAGTACAAAAGTCGTATCATTTAAAAAAAATCTAAAGCAAATCTGAAAAACTCTAACATTTGTTTGGTCAAGGAGATAGGGACATAGGTGTCTTGCTTTATTAGTATCTGTATTTCTCTATATGTTTAAAGTATTTCACAACTAAAAAACAACATAAGGAGAGAAGAATTAGGGAGAAGCTTCTTTTCTCAGCAGTGGAGGCAAAGGCAAAACCTAGAGACAAAAATGTTGAGAAATATAGGAAAGGAGTTTGTTTAATTCTCCTTTATGGCCTAAATAATCTCAAATGAAGTTGCTGAGGTCATTTACCAAGAGTTATTCTGACTGAGGAGGAATGTTACGGAAATAAGAAAATTGTAAGACTTCGAAAAATATATTGTAAGCAATGTGAAAAGCAGTACTTATGCTGTAGATTACTATTTAGTATGGTTCAAAATCTTTAAGAATATCATTGATAAAAGAAGATTCAGAGAGGCACATAATTTTTAATGACAAAACCAAAAGAAAATCTATTTCAAAGATGTCCAACTAAACAATAACATGTTCCATAATTTTGGAACAAAGAGCAGATGAACTTATTGCTAAATTTGTAGCCACACAGGATGTTTAATCCCATTTTAATTATCCTTACAC